GGGCTACGGGTCTAATTGTTAATTAGTATAAATCTACTAGTGTTCTATCACGAATGCCGTTCTCTGATTGGCTACGCTACTCACTATCTATTCTGATGTAGATAGTGAGTAGCGTAACAGCGTGCGCTGGGGGCCCGCTTCTTTGTGATTTCGATGCGGTGTCTTTGAAGAGGATTTAGATTAAATTTTTGAACGACTACTAAAACAATTAGATTATTCGCTCTCGATTTCTAATGATGCGAGACAGTTGACTCGGGCTGCGCCCTCATCAACTATCACGCGATGGAAATCTCGAGCTCATAATCTAATTGTTAAATAGATAGTGAGTAGCCTAGCAGTGTGGGCCTCTTAACAAACTGACGGCAGCTCCTCTTCGTTTTCGAATTGTCTGTGAAAAGGATTTGGATAAAGTTTTGGACGACTAGTAGAATTTTTTATGCGTAGAAGAGAGAAAAAAACGGAGATAACAGCGCGAGGGCAAACAAGACTGACATTCATCTGAATTTTTACATCGTCTACCGCTAATTGGGCGAGAAAAAAAATGCTTGACCACGGTGACGAAATTTTCATCAACACCGTTCTTGACTTACATATTCTTGTACTTGTCTCCACTGTGTTGTTGTAAACGTTACGAGCAACGCATTTGTAAGTGGCCTGGTCTGCGAGCTGAAATTCACCAATCACAAGCTCGCTGGTAAATTCGTCATCCGTGACGTTGTTAATGACGGGCACGCTAATGTCATTCTTGTACCACGTGACGGTGGGTAGAGGCGATCCTTTGGCAGAACACCTGACTCGTAGAGATTCTCGAATACTTGGCACAGAGACAGAAGACGATGGTGTTGACGAGAAGACGGGAAGTACTGAGAAAGTAACATAATAGACCATTTTACAGTTGTCTACTCGGCGACCTGGCCTTTGACTGGCAGTGAGGCTAGAGGTGACCTTACTTTGCTACAGACCTCGCTGCTTTTGTCACGTAAATGCACCAAGTTAGAATTACTGAACAACTTGATTTCCACAACAAAAGCAGTGAGGTCTGTATCAAAACAAGGTCACCTCCAGCCTCGCTCCCATTTAAAGCCCAGGTCACTGAGCAGACAACTGTAAAATGGTCTATTGCCAATTTTAATTCTTTGCATCAAAACAGTCCTCTGCGTTGACATACATAACTTCTAAAAAACGTGACAAACGAAAAATATAAAAATAATTGTTAACAACTAGATCATTGGATGGTAATGCTATTCAAGAGCAGTTCAATAGGTTACTCCCTCATGGACGAGTCAAGAGTGTACAGAGCAATTATACCCTGCTCTACACTTACGCGTAATTTTTGCGGGCGTTTTTTAAAATTTTTATTTTCATTTTGGGGGCGTTTTTAACAAAACAAAAATTCCACTCGCGCTTGTTTGATATGAGATGATTATAGCCAACTCAGCGCTACGCGCCTCGTTGGCTAATGGCTATCTACCATCTCAATTACGCGCGATGGGATCGGAATAATTCAGTGCTGTTTATCCGAGCTGAGCATAATATGAGCAAAACTAAAATAATTTTAAAAAATAGAGGAGTGGGTACCGGCAAGAGAAAATGATCTGGATCATAATCTCTTGGTACTGGTTAGACTTCTGAAAGGTATGAGTTTAACCCAGAGACGGTGTTTTCATGGTAGTAAAATGTTCCTGTAATTAATTTACCGTCACAATATAATACGGCTTACCAACAGATTCTACTTTCAGAAAAGTTCCATGAATGATCATTCCATGTTTGTTCGTCGCAGTACAGATGTAAACTCCTCCATCGCCGTCCTCAGTGTGGTTAATATAAAGACTGCCATTTATCACTGCACTGCGTCCCTGGGGGAATGGTGACGGGGGAGACCTGATCCATTTGACGTCAGGGGTAGGGTGACCAACCACGCCACACTGTAATATTGTGGCTTTTTTCAAAAAGCCAGTAACCTGTCCTGGTGGTGTGATGGGGAATCTTGGTGGTCCTAAAGCCACAATAAGAATGATTATCTTTATTGCTAGTCGTAATCAAAGATTAGAGCGGTGCGTTCACGCTCGTACTTTGCTCGTTTGGTTTGGCGCGATAGAAAACTAAGTTTGATCGAATGACGGATAACGATCTGCACGTGACGTTGAAGCCTGCGGTAAAAGTGTTTTTAATTAATTAAGTATTAACTTGTACTGGACAAAATATTTTCTAGGAAAGGCATTTGAACTGTTGGCAACACTAAGAATTCAATTTCAGATCGCCAACACTTGTAATAAATAAGCTTGAGAAAATGAAGTTTTGACCAGCGACCCTGCAAGACAGCGCGTCCCCAAATGTTTTTAAATTTTGTGTTTGTATTTGTTTACATTAATCGAATTTAAATCTTGTTTTCACAAATGAAAAAGGTGAATTAACCATTCTGACCACAAAACACGGTCTTTTGACAAGTTACACAACACGGAAAGTTTGCTTTCTGACAACCAATTATTAGCTTAGCAACCTCCCGCGTGCATCCATAATTAACTCAATAGTGCACGCTATGGCGTTTACCATTTGTTAAATCATCATGGCCATTTGCCGAGCTACACGGAAGATTTGTTTTCTTACCACAACTCATGGCCATTTGCTCTCGCCGCATGGCTGCAAAACATTCTTCCTGATAACGCAGGCTTTAGTTACTTGTTGTCGAAGGCTAGCGGGTCAAAATAAATGCAGCTTTGCAGAGATCATACGCACTTCGAATCTATACAGCGAACATGCGCTTATGATGTAATCTGCCTCTGCTGTGGGGGAGGGGGCGGGGGTGCAAATCTGAGAACGAATCCGTCCGAAAAATTCTGGATACAAACAGGATTAGGATTGCGTTACGCTACGTAAACGCAATAATTATCCCACAGGAGTAAAATTACGGGCTATCAAATTTGACCCGCTGGTCTATCCCTGACTGGTACTTAGTACAAATGTAGTTTGGGTAACTGTTGTAATGAAGAACATGTCAATCAATCATTTTCAATCAAGCAACCATCAATCCATCCATCCTTCCGTCTGTCTGTGAGTCAGTCAATCAATCTTTATTAATCCGTCGGTTCGTCCGTCCGTCCGTCCGTCAATCAATTAGTCAGTCAGTCAGTCAGTCAATCAGTCGGTCGCACGGTTAGTCAATCAATAAGTCAGTGAGTTAGTGAATCAATAAGGCAGTCAGTCAATCAGTCGGTCGCTCGGTTGCTCGGTCAGTCAGTCAGTTAGTCACGGCAGTCAGTCGGTCAGTCGGTCGTTTGATCAGTCAGTGAGTTTGTGAATCAATTAGGCAAGTACTTAGTCAGTCAGTCAGTCAGTCATTCAGTCGGTCGCTCGGTCAGTCAGTCAGTGAGTTTGTGAGTCAATTAGGTAGTTAGTCAGTCAGTCAGTCAATCCCTCGGTCGCTCGGTCAGTCAGTCAGTACGTCAGTGAGTTAGTGAGACAATTAGGCACTCAGCCAGTCAATCAGTCGGTCAGTCAGCCTTTTTACTGAAAGTCATATTAAAAGGAACTCACCAAATACAATAAGTTCCACCTGAGCCACTCGAGTACCAAACACGTTTTCCGCCTGACACGTGATCATACCCTGATCCTCAAAGCGGACTTCCAGTATCTCAAACGTTTCATCTGTAAGCTTAAATCGGCTTTGGTTGCCATGGTTTCCACCTTGTAAGGACCACGTGATTTTCGGAGCTGGTTTTCCAGTTGCAGAGATACTAAGTGACAGCTTGGCGCCCTCTCTGATGGTGATGGATGGTGGAATCTTGGAAGTGAAACGAGGAGGAGCTGTTGAAACATAATGATATCACGCAGTTAAACTCCATTAACACATAGACTGTAGTCACCATGTATAGGAAATGCCCGTAATATGCGCCACTGTTCGTCATTTCTCTTCAGTTACACAAGAGGAAACATGGCTGCTGCGAAAACATAGTTTTTGCCAAACCTTTTTAAATTTCCCTTCTGCGTGCCAACGTCAAATTTGTTTTCTAATGTACCAAAATTGTCTTCAAATTAAGATGAAACAGAACCTCGAAATATTAATTAACTGTAAAGGAATTTGGAACGCTAGAAATCACACCAACAATCCCAGAGAAAAGACTTGGGACACGAAGCAAGTTCTCCCCTCCCCCCACTTTCAATGTTGATAGTCAGGTGATTTTTCCCTTTTTTGTTGGAGAAAACGCGATATTTTCCAACATTGATTCGGGGGGAAGGGGGATACGTGATACAGCTCAAGTGTCCCAA